TTTAGTAATGTCAGACAAGCTAAGTTATTTTTTCAACTTTCTATATTTTCTGGCATCTTCTCTATTTTCTATATATCTTCTGTTAAACCTGCTCTTTAACACCCTTGTGTTATTCTTAGTTTTGTTAACTGTTCAAGACTATTTTGTCTGTTTAGTCTTGCTAATAGGCTACTTATTTGTTTTGTTGTTAATTCTTGTCATAATGTTCTGCCACTTCCAAGATCTTTGTGTTCTATTATGCAGTTTTTAATATTTTTTGTAAGTTGCTTTTTTGTTTTGCTAGACTTATTATTGATTGATGTATTTTGCTTATGCTTTTTTCTGACATTTTTGTTAGCTATAACATATAACTTAATTTTGGTATTATTACTATATTGTTTATATATACAATCTGGCTCATTGTCATCTTTTTGTATCTAAGATCTCTTATTGTTTGGCTAATTATTCCTTTAACTTTCTTTTTTACTAGCACTTTACTCATTCTGTTATTTAACCATATTTCTAGTAAGTGAACTATCTTATTTTTTGCTTCTTCTATTATCTTGCTTTCTTCAAAGATCAATTTTCTCTTTTATTTCTTTACTTTTGTATTTATTATCAACAGCTTTGATTTGAATTCATTTATCTTTATATCATTCATCTTAAAAAATTCTTCTGCTATTTTTAATATTTTCATTAGCTGTTTTTTACTATTTGCAATTTATATTATATCATCTGCATATGCAATAGCTGCTTGGCAGTACTTCATAATATTGCTGCATTGCATTCTTCTTTTGATTTGTTGTTCTACTATATATCTTAAATTTTTATCTTCTTGTATTCTTGTTAATAGTAGATTGTAGAATAGTTGCCAAATTAATAGTAATATTACTTTTCCTTGATTTATGCCATCTTCTGTTATTATTTCTTCTGTTAGGCCATAAGCTATGATAATTTTTAGTTGTCTTTCATGAAACAGATCCAGAATGTATTTTATTGTTCTTTTAAGCACTTTAACTCTTTGCAGTGCTAGTTTAGACTCTTGAGTGGAACTGAGTCAAATGCTTTTTTCATATCTTGCAAAAGTATCTATACTTCTTTATTCTTCTCTTTTGCTTCTTCTATTATCATATTGAGAATGTGTACTGGTTGTTCTGTTAAGTTGCCTAAGAGACCCACATAATTTGGTTCTTTGAGTATTTCTTTTTCTGTAAATACTTTGGCAAGCCTTCTTGTTATTACCTTTTTTACAACCTTTCAAAATGTTTCTATTAATGTTATCAGTTATATATTGTTTAAACTATATTCCTACTTAACATCTTTAGATATTAGGTAAATCTGCACTATCTTCTATTTTATTAGTATCTTTCTTTCTTTTAGATATAGGTTTGCAAAACCTCTAAATACCTCTTGTGTTTTCTTTCTTGCTCACCTTATTAGGGTGTAGCTTATGTCTAATATGCCTGGAGCTGTACCTGTTTTCAGTTCTCTTAATATTTCTTCCTATTCTTTTTTTTCAATTTCTCTTTCTACTTCTGTGTACTATTCTTCTTTAATATTTTCTTATACTTTATATATTTTTTTCTACTTTTTTGACATCTCTTCTAATCTTGTATTTTTTTTTCTAAATTGTTTTCTGTAGTGTTCTGCTATTCCTATTCTGACATCTTCTAGGCTTGTTAGCAGATTTGTTTTCTCTTCTGTTTGTTTGATAAATCTATCAAGTACTATTTTCTTATAAGGCCTATTCAAAAGACTTGCTATTATCTTTCTTTGATCTGTTTTGATCATTTCACATCTTTTGTCTATATTCTCTTCTATTTGTTTTCTTTATATTCACTCTTAGTTTTTTTTTTTTTTCCAGTAGTAGCTTTCTTCAACCTTTTATATCTTCTATTCATGCATTTGACTATTATCTTTGTAGTTTTGACAATTTTGCACTGATTTCCTTGCCTAGTGTTTTTAATTGTTCATTTACTTCACTTTTTTCCTCTTCTGTTACTGTTTATGTTTTTTTAGCCTTTGCATATTTGATTAGTTTTTGTAACTTAACAACATTTTCTTCTTGTTGCTGTTCCTTTTGACTTCTTCTGTTTGTTATCATATTAAATACTTTTTTCTTAAATATGTGTTTATTTGCTGCTATGATAATAGCTTTTTCTATTATGTCCTATATATTGTTTATTTTTTCTGTTTTCTTCTTCTTATTTTGTTCTTTCTTGCAGATGTTTTTTAGAACCTTTTTCCTTTCTAATCACTTCTGTAACTCTTGTGCATAATTTTCCCAATCCTTCAATTTTGCTTGATTATATAAGTATATTGTTTTTGACTGCCTTTTCCTTTTAATCTCTGCTTTGCTTTTAACTGCCATCATATGTTTGATCCATATTTCAGCTGTTTATATCTTGTAATCACTCTCTGTAATCTCTTCTACCTCTTCAATTTCTGCCTTTTATAGGTTTGAGACTAACCCTTCTGATATCCATATATAGTCAATTCTTGTTGCTGCTTTTCCATTTAATCACATGTATTGTTGGCCTATTGTATTTATCTCTCTATATATATTTCTAAAGTCTTGTTTTTTTATCTAATTGAATATTGGCAGTCTTTTGTAGTTTGTTGTTTGTAGATGTTGTCTGTTTAGAATATTGTTTACTATATAGTTAAAATCACTTATTACAATAACTTGTGTTTGTTTTTTTCTCTTTGAGATCATTTTTACAATCTTTTGCTAAATGTTTCTTTCTACTATCTTATTATTCAGCAGTATATATACTGTAATCACTACTAATTCTAATTATTTAAAGTATAGTGTAATCTCTATCATGTATTTACTTATTTTTTTAACTGCATCTATGTGCCTTTTTCATCATTTATTGATTATAATTTCAATATCTGATTCTTTTTTCTTGTTTTCAGTTGCAAGACAGTTACTATAACACAGATTTTATTTTTCAAAATTCATCATTCATGGGATTTGAACTCTAGACTTACCACTTGGAGGTTGACAACCTGACCACTTTACTAGGTTGCTATACCTCTATATTTATATAACTTTAGTTATATAGAAAAATACAAACTAGTATTAAGTAATACAAACTCAAGATAAGTTCTTGTAGTTGTATAAATTTATAAAATTAGAAAAGCAAAAATCTGTTTAAAAACCCAAATAAAAAAATATTATAAATCTTTAATAATACAATTGTAAAAATTAGACTTAGGAAGCAAATAAAAATATAAAGAAATTAAATAAGATATAATTTGTTGATATAAGCAAATTTACTAACTAAACTACTAAATTTTAAATTAGAGAAAAAGAATATTAAACTAAACCCTATATATTAAAAATAAATCATATTTCTTTTAGTTTATCTGAATTACAAACTTGAGAACAAAACAAGAATATATTAAAATACTAAAGATATACTATATATAAAATTAATATTAGAGTTTAGATAAACTTGTAAAAACATAATCTTGTTAATAGAACTATAAAGTAAGTAAATTAGTTAATAAAAAAACTTTTTGAGTCTATTATCAGATAATATACTTTGAAATAGATAACAACTTATATATTAATTCAAAAAAAGAATAAAATCAAATCTGAATGATTTTTATTGAAAGCAGTAATAAGATAGCTTGACTTTAAGGTTAAGTTAGTATTATATAAATCTAGATTAAGAATACTAAAAAGTTTAAATAAAATAATCACAAACAGAAATTAGATATAATATCTAACAAATAACTTTAGAACTTTTAAATAAATAATAACTAAAGTTGCATGTATAACTAACTGTATTCTTATTAACAAAAAATATATCTTAAGTTAACATTAACAAATAAAATCAGTTTAACCAAATAATTAATTGCTTGTTTAAAAAAAAATAAAAAAAAGTAAAAAAAAATACTGCTATATAAATATACCTTATACGTATAAATACAAAATTGCTTGTTTAAAAAGAAATAAAAAAAAGTAAAAATAATACTGCTATAAAATATACCTTATACGTATAAATACAAAATTCAAACCCACTACTACAACGATACTCTGTTACAGACATTGCACAAAACAAATATAATAAATTACTTTCAGACTGTATAATGAATACAAACATTATATATATAGAGAAGACCTTGAACCTTTTTAGCAAAGTCTAGATCAAAAATAATTAGCTTTAGTTTCTAGTTCTTCATAATAATAATAAAAAGCCATAATGAAAATAGTAGTTCTTTATTTATTTTAATTTAATAAATAGAAAATATAATTAATAAAGTTTTAAATAATTATACAAAAATAGATTAAGAATTTTAGTAATTAAATTTATTTATTAATAGTTTAAAAGATAGTAATTAACGTTAAATTTTTTTTTAACAGTTTTGTCTTTTTTATTAAAATACTAAATATATAATTTTTAAATAAATTTAATATGTTATTATAGTTAATTTAAAAAAATTTTGGTGCTTTTAAATATCTTCCGCAAGAGATATATTTCTTGTAAGACATGTATTTTAACCAATCAAAACTGAAAATGTGTTATATGATACATATTCCAAAATACTACTTGGGCTAGAAATATTTGTACTATCTAGACCTTATTTTATCAATTAACCTTTAACAAAATTCATTTGTTTAAAATTTTTTTGTAGATACACTGTAAACCAACACAATAAAGTTTTATTAATTTACTCATAGTTAATGATGCCAATCACATATATAATGTAGATGTATAAATCAAAAATGAATATAAATAATTTAGAAGTTGAAATAATATTAAGAGCTATTAATACAAATAAGAATATTTATAATTGATGGCGGGGGTGTTCAACACCAGGGTGCTATATCTCAAAACCTGTCAAGGAAATTGGGAAAAACCTTATGTTACCTAAAATTTAGAACTTTTTATATAACTCCAATCTTAGTCTATAACTACACCCTAACCCAAACTTCATAGTAAACATGAGGTGAATATTGATAACCCCGGTATCAAGATGATTTTTCTAAATAAGATATCAAAAAGAGATCATTTCCGTAATTTGAGAAACTCATTCTTAATAATTTCATTATCTATTAAATCTTGACTTTCTGTAAACAGAACAAAGGCACGATTAGGAATCTTTTGACGACATTTATCGACACGATTATTAAATTCTTGAAGAGGATCGATGCTCGGTATAGTTGGAGTGAGTGGTGTTAATGGAGTTGTTGGTGATGATTCATCAGATTCAGATGGCGAAGACGATATTTTATCACTAGAATTATCGCCAGAATTATCATCAAAATTAACTACGTTAGTATCATCTAAAACCGGCATCGTCTTTGCAGATTTGGATGGTAAAGGTGAACTCCTCTGAACAAATGGAAAAGATTTTGATCGTCTCGGAGGTGGTGGATGGGTTTTGATACGTTCAGTGGATACATCACGAATAAAGACGTATAAAATTTGACTAGGAAATTCATCCGCTATGTCGGAATAACTATTTTTGATTTAAAAAACATTAGCGTACTTTTGGAAATAAAATTCTAGAAAAACGAAAGCAAATAAATACATTTCCATGTCCAATTCACCACTATCACCAATAAGAATAAATTTTCTATGAGGAAAGTCCTGTTGAAAACAAGTATACAATCAGAATCTATATAGATTAGTTATTATGACATAAACTGAAGTACTAACCCTAAAAATATCTCTAATATATTTGCGTTTTGTATTACCAGAGTCAATTAGGCTCTTAAGATCATTATATAGTTTCAGATGTGCCGAGCCGGGAGGAAAGTTTTTATTACGAAAAAATTGGTTAAGCATGGGAAATAATTGCCAAGGTGAATTTGACACATAGTGTATCGACGCGCCTTGCTTATACTATTATGTATAAAAGAAACAATTAATGACTAAAAACAATTATTAATGATGGAATTATTTTTATACGAACCCATTCTTGATAAACATTTGCCATGCCAGAAACCTAATGAATAACAAAGACAGATGAATAATCATAGTTTAAAGAAAGATATTTAACATTAAAGGCTTTTTACCTCTTTTTGATCATACAGAAAGGTACTAGAAAGAGCAGCACGTGGACCACTGCTTATGTCCGTGTGTTTAATAGTATCATCGATATCCTTTGGAATGTAAAGGATTTGTTACGAAAAATAGAGTAGCGTGACACATGTATAGTAAAAAAAGCACATTTACAGATATAATAGATATGCCATTAACACCAATTAAGTTTGCGAAACCATAAGATTTGTCCGCTACGAAATCAATGAATTTTAATTAAAAAAAAATATATATTTTTTGAATGGCACACTCAAGTTATCATAGGTTGAGCTACTATACCATATGTTTCTTTCTCTCTCTCTGGAAATGCAGATAATTTCAGCCATCTTGCAGGATTATCTTCTTTTGCGTTAGCAATCCACTGATCGACAGTATCAACTAGAATCTGAATTTCGCCTGAAAAATGACCGGTGCCACTTGTAACTTTAGTGGAATATAATCCGTTAATCGGTAATATAGTACTGTTATCATCAGGGACACGATCTAGTTCCATATGTGATGGATGAGCAAGGCCGTTTATCTGAACTATGTAATCTTGATTTCGAAGGTTTTTTGCCAAAAACATGCTGACTCTATCTTCAAGTGTTTTACTTTTCTCTTCATCATTGTTCACACCAGCTACTCGACGTGCAACTCCTTATTGAATTTTAAGGAAGTTAAAGTTGATATACTTAATTACAATAATCGTTCTAATTTGTGCATTTAAATACTTACCCATCATTATTTTTTGCTTACGACTTTGAGTTTTTGAGATATAAGCCCAGCCTCGTACATGAACTTTCCATACCTCTTTTCCTATCAAAAGAGAATAAATAGATAAATGTCATAGCATTTACACACATAATTAATTGATAATTAATTGATAATTAATTGATTATTATCCAGTCTTTTTCACTGAATATATCCTTTGAAAATTGGTTCAAAAATTCTTGTGACAATACATTAACGAAACAGTAATTTCATGACCTGATCTTTATACCTTGCTCATTTTTTGTTCGACAAGCATATGAAGGAATTAATATACAATTTTGATCAGAAGTAGCCAACACTTCAACTTCGGTAGTAATACTTCCATCTTGTACTTCTTGTGTAGGGCGTGCATCTGCGCGATTAATCGGCTCGCAAAAATTTTGTTGAATTTTTTCTTTTACCAATGCATGAAATTTTTCCATTAAGGACAAGGAATTTTTGTTCAATAATCCAAAAAGTCAAATGCGGAAAGTAACTCACTATATAAAATTGAATAATTTCTTCGGGCTTTGCTTAGATCAAGGTTTTTTTAAATGTGCACGATGATCACACAAAGAACCACATTAGGGATTTTTTTGGCATCCAAGAATGGAGGATACATTTTTTTTGATTGGTCAATTTTGTTCAAAAAAAAAAAAATAGAAATTGACATAAACGAGGAATACAAAAGATCCGATTGACATTACTTTGAAGATTAAACTGTAACTCAATACGTATAATGAACCATTGATATAAATCATTATGATTAGTTAGTATGTAAAATCTTAAGTAAAGGTACCACAAATAGTTTTTCTACTTTCTAATTATAGATTCATTATCATTATCGTTATTGCTGTATTGCGCGTAAACATTAACTTTCATAACGTTCATGTATAGGCAAAAATTTTCGGTAACACAAGATTCAATCATGGTACGTATTTGTATTAGTGTTGGGTTCTAGCTAACGCTAACAGTATAGGTATTTTACTAACAGTATGTCATGCTTTAAACCTTAGAATACCATAAATCTCAATATAAACCACCCAGGTTAGCATTTTAATTTGGCTAATGAAGCCGTGGTTAAATTGGCATAGCCGGCTAAGCCAGCGTATACAACAACATAGCGATAGACAAATTTATTTGAATACTTTTCAAAAACAAGTAAACAAGATTTCACAGCAAAAAAAATAAGTTTATGAGATATATCATGAGTGACTATGATTAAAGAACCATTTATTGGTTGGAGTAACTGAGTTATCTTTTATAACTAGTTATACCTATTTTGGCATGCTGTAACTTGCTTATATGCCGAATTATTTATTCAAGTTACGTTAACGTTAATAGACAATAATTTCAAGAAAATATAAATTATTTTTATTACATATAAGTTATAATATTTATATTGATTGCAGTATTGATTAATTAAATATAAATAAATATTGGATAGATATCAAATTTTAATTTATCGATATGGTATTAATTTGAATTCATACGGCACTTGGGATCCATACGGTATCGGGATTCATCACTACTCGGTATATATTAAGCTTTACATATATCAATATGACACAATTGTCAAATATACAAATGTCTTGGCGTTAAAAAAATATAGCGATAACGGTAGTATTAATAATATTAATATATGTCAGAGCATATACAATTAGCAATTTAAATTTTAGGGTCTGAATAGAGTCGGCAGCAATGATATTAACTGGTGAAATCTATCAGAACCATCTAAAATTGATATATGAATATCTAAATTTTGCGGTGCCGTTTACTTCGCCGACAATTATTTCACCGACAGCGACATCACATAGGATTAGGATTAGCATTTTATTATTTACTGGTATATATTTTTGGTAAATTGTCGCTTGGTGTGATGTCGGTTAAATGAGCTGTCGGTGAAATGATTGTCGGTGAATAATACGGACCCGCTTCCCATAAGCAAATGGGTTAGGTGTTTGAGTGCTGTCAAGTGAAACCAGGAAATCTAATTATAGATAACTCTAGACTTTCACTTTGACCAAATGCCTACCCGATGGTAATCAACAAACAATTAGTATTTGAGTTTTCTGACTAGTCAAATATAATCCAATGTAAAAGTACTAGTATCTATAAAACAGCACAAAATAATTTTTCGTAAAATTATAAATACATCAACAAAGATCCAATAACTATTTAAAAACTGTATTTTAAAATAAACTGGTTGGTAAAAAATATACCAATGTAACCAAAAAAAACTTATTAGTCCGTATAGGTTGCGATACCACTAATTAGAAAAATCATAATAAATCTATTTTTAGAAAAAAAATTCCTAGCAAAAATCCCAAATAATACTTGGTTTTAGCTAAATAATTAGCTTACTCGTTCTAGTTATCACATAGCAGTGTATCCTAAAACTAGGTTTATAACAACCCAAAATTTATCCTAAATAGAACGTAAGCAATAAATAACATAGATAGCATTATCCAATAACATGGAATATTAACCAAGGCCTGATAAACAAATGAAAATTATTTAAAGAAATTCTCAAAGGTTTAAAGTTTGGCATATTGTATATTTAAGTAAATAAAGCTGACTATTCGAAAGAAACCTGCTGTTACCGCTTAGCCAAAAGAAGCGTAAATAATATTTCTGTGGTATTAAGTGAGTTTTTAAATAAGAGGTTCAAAAAGCTTTTACGAAATAAAAAAAAAATTATCCTAATTTAAAAAAAAAAACGAATATAAATTGTTTTTTCCAAATTAATCCAATTTTTTATCATTGAATTTTTAAATAAACAAGTGACCCATACCCATAATGGTCCATCTTCGGAAACAACGTCACATTGGCTTATTTATAGTAAAAAATAAAGTTTTTAATTGTTTTGATGAATAATAAAATCGCGTGTATTGTTTAAAAAAAAAAAAAGGGTTGTGGATCATCACATGTCCTATAGCTAAAAATTCATTTAATTGGCTGATGCAAATCAATTACCTGGGTAACTTATTTATATATTAACGAAGCTTCTGCTCTTTCATGTAATGAATTAATTTATTATTGTTGCCAGATTTTGGCTTCAAAAGAGGTCAATCAGGTATCAATAGGCATTAATCAGAATAGTATTATTCCGATTGATGCCTATTGACACTCGATTGACCTCTTTTAGATCCAAAATCTGGCAGCAATAAGGATATGCTTCCTAAAATTTTGAGTGTGAACAAAATTGGCAGCAATGACTTATATATCAATTTATTATTATGTTTTTTTTTGTTGCAACGATTTATTAATATTATTATATGTACCGGTAATTTATTTACTTATAATATTTTTATTATTACATATAATTTATATGTTAAAAAATCAAATTGAAATTAGAGTTACGATACAACGGGATTAGATCAAAACGATCCTAGCATAACCACCAAAAACAGTTACGTTAAAATTGCAATTCTTGAATGTGTGCCTTAACTACAAATCAGATTTCGAGATCAGGCGCGATCAAGAAAATTCAAAACAAACATCCGTTTTATCAAAAATCGCTTACTTCTCATAAGAAATCAATCACCCTTAATGCTCTAATAAAAAATCTTCGTTTGGCAATTTTTACAGTTTAAACTACTTTTCTCTGCTTCTCAACCCTGATCTTAACCCTAACAAACGAACTTTGAATAATTTTTATCGCGCCACAAACCTGGCACACATTCAAGAATTGCTTTAAAATTTGTGTAAAAAAGTGCATTCGAAAAAAGTTCTAGCAAATGTGTGAAATTCAGAGTTACTAATTTTCTACCTTGCTAATATAATTGAGAGTACTTATTGTTTACATAAATACTTAGTCTATTTTTATTTTCTGGTACTCGTTTCTTTTGAGCATTCAACACCATCATTTGTTTCATATATTAATTTTTGAAGTTTGTATATGCAGTAACATGATGTTTGATCATTGAACATGGTCTAAAAAAGTTTTGAACATAGTATACGTGACAAAACTGGTCGAATCAATTCACTAATTAAAAAAGTATCGGTATGTTAGATCATCGCATTGCGGCGAATTTATGAAATTAGTGTTTTGACTCACTACGAAGTGCGCCATTTACTGTACTATTTGTTTTTTTATTGTAACAATCATGTAGATAATGTCTAACCCATCTTTTTCACGGAAAGTTGGGTTAAACGTTATCTATATGTCTATATGACTTTAAATAAGAAATGCCAAAAACAAATAGTAAATGACACACTAATACTCTAACCACCGTGATGGCTTATTTCGCCAGCCGATAAGATGGCTAGAGACTGGACTGAAAAACACTAATGAACTGGTCTTATTAGAACCGGGGCGGACTGAACCAGACCGATCCATCTCTACGTGAAATACTTTTTTAAAAAAATAGAACTAAAAAAAATAAATTTTAAAAAAATATATATACGTAGAACGTTTTATTATTAAGGTTGTAGAACTCCATTATTGAAAATAGTCAATATCCATCTTATTTGCATAACTTCTTAAAAATAGATAGAACTAAGTTATTACGAATCATAATAACTTCTTTAAAACAAAGAGATTTTGATTATTTTCAATAGTGGAGTCCTACAGTCCTAATAATTAATAGTTATTGGGCAGACGAGCTGCTGAATAATAAAAATTTCTTATTTTTTAAATTTGTTCTATTACAGTACCGGACAGCAAAAAAAAAAACGTCTACTTTTTATAAATATAATATAAGAATGCTTATAACTTAGTAACAAACCACTTTAAAAAAAATCCATCTTACAGATTTGTTGCTTTTAGTTTAAGCTATAATTCTATTAGAATAGAGTTTTATTTTTCTTATAAAATTAAAAAATTATTGGGGCTTAAGATTTATATGTATCAAAAATTTGGCGTTCAATATAAAATTGTTTTAAATAATGTAAAATTAAATAGCCAATCCTTCTTTCTATGAGATTATAAAATATAATCGTTCCTCATTAATATCAACCTATTTGGATTAGTTTAAATTCATGTTGAGGGATTATATTAAAGTTATGAGAAAATTTTAATACATGAAAATTTATAAAAATTTGGTTTATAGTTAGGTTGATATTAATGAGGGACGACTGTATTCACTTTGGAACATGAAATTAGATCTTTTTGATAACATTGATGATAGCTTCATCAAGGGCATCTTTATGTTCTTTTTCTTGTTCTCTTCTGTAAACCAATCTTTGTCTTTTTGGTTATCTTTCGCTTGGTAATGAAAACATGATGATTGATTTTTCGCGATATAAAAGTGTCGCAGCTGATACTGAAATTTGGATCCATTTTAATCTGAAACTTTGGTTTTTTTTATGGTTCGGTGATTTAAGGTCAGAGTTTATAATATTGGCTTTAGTAAGGGTTATATTTTCAAATTAGAGCTTGGATCCGGTTATCCGTTGGATACAAATTTATTAGTAAAATCCGTCGGATATTCGTTAAATTTAATATGAAAACGGATGACTGGATCCAAGCTCTATTTCAAATAGAGACCTCAAATTTAAGCATCGACAAAACAAAAAGTGTAAGAAAATTACTTTTTGAAAAAAATGCCATAAACTACATCGATATAGCATAAACTAAACCAATTCTACTTATTATATATTTTTTTAAAAAATATTGTGTATACTACGATTGATTTGATGAATCTTCTATACGCTAACACTGTAACAGAGTGGCCAAGAATCATGATAATGAACGTGAGAATTATACATAGTTATTCAATGGTTTACTGTTCATGAAATAAGATCAATAATTTTATTATATAAAAAATTATAGATTTATTTTATAGACTGATCATAATCATAATTAAAACATTGACTACACTTAAAGTTTCGATTTTATTTCTTTGGAAAAGCATTACAACTCCAAAAGGGCTCCCAGTGAAACTGATCTGGTTATACGTACCATATAATGAATTTACTATAACCAAGTCAATTGATCAAACCCGTTAGGAGCACTAAAAAAAGGACATAATCCAAAGTTAGCCGGCATTAGCTTAATGCTGGCCAATTTAGTCGGCATTATAGTATTATACCTTCGGAAAGAACATTATACGTATCACAATTTTTAATTTTTACTATGATACCTAATTAGCAATATCGACCAGTGAAGCTGCATCACTAGTTAGTACGTATATTATAACAACTATAAAAATTCAATAAAAACGGTTATCGTATGTAGTGTTAATTAACAAGTCATGCAACACAATTAACAAATCGTACGTACCAATTTTACCAGTTTGGTCGCGATTCTCTTTACAAGTACGATATAATTTTTTTTGTTTTCTTATAAACCTTGATTATAAGTATGCTGCCAAGAACTCGAGACGGTAACGTAAATTCCTCTGAATTTTTTGATTTATTAGTTACATACTGAAGCCTCTTATTGTATTCTAGATTACGATAATGGTAAAAATTATAAATCAAAGCGCACTTTTATAAAGGTGATTCTATATGCTATTAAACTGCTTTTGTCTAATTAAATAATTACTAAAAGTTCCTCAAAATTTAGAAGTTATTCAAAAAATACTTGCCATTTTCGCGGACACTGTGGCTTATTCTTGTTATAATATGTGGTGTATTTTATTTTGTGTTTGTTAGCAAATATTTATTTTTTGAACAATTTGATTCTCAACAACCTATCAAGGAGATTAGTAATGAGGACATTGATTTCATTCTACCAGATACTGATACAGATCCAATATCGGATTCTCCTGTATCTATTCATAATGATTTAATTTGGACTGAACGTCAAATGAAAGTAAAACAAGCTTTCAAGCATGCATGGGACGGTTATGTTCGTGATGCTTGGGGTAATGATGAATATCATCCAATTTCTCATAGAGGTTCTAATCTATCCAGATCTGGAATAGGTTTTACTATCGTAGATTCCCTTGATACACTTTTATTAATGGAGCTTAAAGACGAGTATGAATATGCTCGTAATTGGGTTGCTAATTCTTTGGACTTTAGTATAGATGGTGAAGTAAATGTTTTTGAAACAACAATCCGAGTTCTTGGCGGTTTACTTAGTGCCTATCATTTATCTGGTAATGATATGCTTTACCTTGCCAAAGCAGTCGATTTAGGTGATCGTCTACTTGGTGCTTTCTCTTCACCGTCAGGAATTCCTTATGCTTCAGTAAATTTGGCTACTCGAGAAGGGATCGTGGCCCATTTTAATGGTGGTGCAAGTTCAACCTCTGAAGCAACTACTTTACAATTAGAATTTAAATATTTAAGTTATATTAGTGATAATTATGTGTATTGGGATAAATCGCAAAATATTATGCTTACCGTAGATAATCTTAAAAAATACGATGGCTTGGTACCTATATATTTAAGGTAAAAATTTTGACATAATATTTAATAATATTCGGTAATTAGTTTAATTTAACACTTTCAAATTAAATAGCCCAAATGATGGTAAATTCTGGGGTGGAAGAATAACGCTGGGCGCTAGAGGTGACAGTTATTATGGTATGTGAATACATATATATATATATATATGGTTTTTTTTTTTTTGCATTATTTTAAAATTACATAGTAATATATTGTGTGATTAATTGTTAATTAATAGAATACCTCTTGAAGCAATTTATTCAAACCTCTTACACTGAATATTTTTATCGTCGAATGTACGATGAAGCTATCAAAGGTGTAAAAACACATCTCATAGATTATTCATATCCTTCTGGGCTTTTATATATTGGTGAACTATCTGGTTCTGGTGATGATAATCTTAGCCCAAAAATGGATCACCTTGTGTGCTTTATGGGTGGAAGTTTAGCTCTTGGTGCTACAAAAGGTCGAAAAGTATATGATATTCAGGACGATATGTCCGATAATGATTTGGAGGATCTTGATATAGGAAAAGAATTAACAAAAACATGTGTCGAAATGTATCTCAGTACTAATACCGGTTTAGCTCCAGAAATAGCTTATTTCTCTACATCTGAAGATGCAACCACTGACATAATTATAAAACCGCTCGATAGTCATAATTTGTTGCGTCCTGAAACTGTTGAAAGCTTATTCATACTTTGGAGGCTAACTGGTGATGTCCAATATAGGCATGTGTTTATTTCAAATTATTGTTTTATTGCCTGATAAAAGTTCTTGTAAAATAATGTTCATTTTATCAGGGAGTGGGGATGGAAGATATTCCAAGCTTTTGAAAAATATGCTAAATTAGATGAGGGTGGATATACTTCATTAGATGATGTTACCATCGTACCACCTGAAAGACGTGATAAGATGGAAACTTTTTGGCTGGTAATTAAAATGTTATTTTTAAGTAAAATTATTATATAAATTATTATTTTATATTAATGACTTCTTTCGATAAATAGGCAGAAACATTAAAATATTTCTATCTTTTGTTTGGTCCTGACGATTTAATACCATTGGATAAATATGTGTTTAATACAGAAGCACACCCATTTCCGATAATCTCACCAACATCAAAGGATATACAAGCTAGAATTAAGAAAATGCCATATTAATTTGTACGCATAGAAGTATCTGAGCACTTTTTTATTATTCAATTTTCTTGATTTTTCTTATGTAAATAAAACAATCTACAAAAATTATTAGTATTGTTATTAATCATTTCGAATTTGTCATGTTTTCGGCACAAATGTTGTATCGAAATTTTATACAACAAAAGTTTGTTTACAGCATTTATATTTATATTAGATTTATATTTTATTCGATGTTTGGCCAAGTCACTATTATTTGAATGAAAATTGCATTGTGATGCAAAATCTTATAGAAATAATTTATAGTTGTCAAGTAACATAAAAATCAATAAATATCAATTTTTAAATAATTTAATTAAGCACTGTATATTATTTTAATAATAATATTCAAATATGTAAAATCTAATGGTGCTTTATAGCAAAACTAAGTTTGCAATGGAAATTAAGGTTAGATTAAGGTTAGATTAAGGTTAGATTAAGGTTAGATTAAGGTTAGATTAAGGTTAGAGTCAGAGTTAGAGTTAGAGTAGGATAACTTTATAAAAAAACATTTTTACTTATGTTATATAAGAGGTTACTCTAGTAAATTTTTGAGAAATTAGTAATTTTATAATAAAGGGCACAAAGTGCATAAAGCACCAATTAGTCTTGGTTTTTTTTTTTTTATATATATATTAAGGCCAATGTTAATGGTGGCTAATGCCTTTATTTGTAATTTTAGTTAATACATTATATATTACTTGTACAGGATGAGCATACAACTAGTCATATGTATAACCTTTGGTTACCTATTTAAGTAGTTCATCTAAGGGTTCTACACTAGCTACCATATCTATAATCTACTAGGAAACTATTTAATTAAACATTCTGGTTCTTATACTGTATCCAAACAATTAGCTATCTTGGTTCTTATACATCTAAGTATCATCTAACCTAATATTTGGTCTTTTTTCTGTACATCTGTCAAGTCATTACTTAATTTCAGAGCATATTATCTGACTATAAAATTCAGAGAACTTTCCTGTTAACTACCTACTTATTTTATGAAACATTAACAGAGCTTATCCTTGCAGAATTCACTCAAATTCTAGTACTTATTTCATAGCATATTCATTGTACTTTTAGTATACCCTTATCTTTTCTTCAAACTTTTAATCCAGATAGTTCAATAGGATTATGATCAGTTTATTAATATATCAGATCAACTTGATATTCTTTTTTTCTAGTCTTCTTGATTAGAATTCTAGTAATCTAATTGATGTTACTTTTCATTTAGAGATTTTTATCCATCTAGATACTTCATATTGGTATTTATTTTTTAGATCTAGTTTTTACAATAATATCATTAAAGATTTATATTACCTCTTTATTCAGGTCTTCCCAAATAGGTTTTTTGTTTCCAATTTCTATAGATTTATACAGTTATAAGAATTTATTTTGGGTTTGTATCACCTGATTTTGGTTTATATTCCTCTGTATAATTAGTTATACAAATATCTTATGATCTGTCAGTCATGCTGATGTGATCATAATTACAGATATCTTAACCTAATTATTAAAAACAATTGTCATAATATAAATATTATACAGATAATTATTTAAATTTTTGTCATTCATAAGTTTTAAACTTACAACTTATCACTTGAAGGGTTAATAACTTATCTACTTAATTAAGTTGCTACACTTCTATTAGTCTTTTTTTTAAAATATATATATATATATTTAATATTAAGATATATATTTGTAATTCAGGATTTTATTAATAATATATTTAACTAATAGTTGTATTATAATTATAAAAAATAATTATAAAATGAGTATACAACTAGTTACTTGTACAATTTTAGTTATTATTTAATTTAAGTAGTTTGTCTAAAGGTTTTATACTAATTGTTATATTTAAAACCTACTTATAAGTTCTTTATTTAAATATTTTAGTTTATATATTTATTTACTTACTTATATCTATTAACTGATTTGGTTATTATAATACAAATATAATATAATTTTTTTTAAATTAAAGTACTTATCTTTAGAAAATAACATTTTTAGACAAGTTTTTATAAGACACAGATGTTTTTAAAAGTTCTTTTATATTGAAGATTATAACTAGTTACATATCCATTTTTGGTGTTTAATTTAAGTAGTTTGTTTATATATTACTATACAGACTCTATATTAATGTTTTTATATTCAGTTCAGTTCAGTTCAGGTTTATGAATCAAGTTTATTAAATCTGAACTGAACTTCAAATTTTGCAAATTATTGAATATGAACCTGAACTGAACTTAAAATTTATAAATATAAACTAAATCTGAACTTAAAATTTTGTTCAGTTCAGTTTTAGTTCAAAGTTTATAAACATATTTAAGTTCAATATTATATATATATTTTTTTATATATAAAACAAAATTACTTAGAATATAAAGATTGAATTAATTAGTAAAATTTTGAAAATAATAGAAATTTTTATAATTTTATTAATAAAATTATAAAAAACATTATTATTCTTAAAATTTTACTAATTAAACTTATATTTATGCTTTAAATAAACTTGTTCTAAATATAAAAATACATTATACTAGTATATATTTATTTTATATTTTTTAGTTCTAAAGAAAAAATACTTAATTTTAAATTTTTTTATCAAAAATCCAAAATTAAGCATTTTTTATTTAAAATTAAAAAATATAAAATAAATATATGCTAATATAATGTATTTTTATATTTGAAACAAGATTACTTAAAGTATAAAAATAGGTTTAATTAGTATAATTTTAAGAATAATGATGTTTTGTATAATTTTATTAATAAAATTATAAAAATTATTATGATTTTCAAAATTTTATTAATTAATTTTATTTCTATATTCTAGTAATTTTGTTCTATATATAAAAATATATATATATAATATTGAACCTAAACATGTTTATGAACTTTGAACTGAATCTGAACTGAATCTGAACTGAATCTGAACTTAAATTAAAAGTTCAATACTAAATCTGAACTAAAATTTTTTTTAAAAAAAGTTCAAGTTCAATTTAGTATTGAACTGAACCTGAATTTGAACTTGACCAAAGTTTAGTTCAGTTTAGGTTCATAGAAACACTACTCTATATTAGATACTATCAAATATAGTGAAACCTCTCTAAATGCATGTCACTAGGACAGGCTATAATGCATGCATTTAGGAAGGGTTACAATTAAAGAACAGTCAATTATATTTCAGTATTATTCAAGTCAAGTGAATATACTAACCAATAGTAATATATAGTATTTATTATTACATAAAGGTTCACTATCTATATCACTATTTATATTTTCAACTAACACATAAAATTTTTTTTTTTTATAATTTATAACCATATATAAAATAACTTATAAAAAAACCTATAACTTGCTTAAGATCATGAATTTGATTTAATAAACTATGATAATCTACAAAAAGATAATATTTAGAGTTTTATTATAATTTGTTTAAAGTTTTATAAGAGCTCTGCTAACAGTTTTTTTCTAACATTGAAACCTTTAATATAAAGAACTAAAGGCTTAATGTTAGCATTATTATAAAGATCTCTGTCAGTACTTTTTTCTTTTAATATAAATATTTCAAGATTCAAAGAGATAAAATTAGTATTTTGTAAAATGCTAGTAATCTAGCTAGCTGACTCAAAGTAAGTTTCAATATTTGTTTGTTTAAATACTGCATTTTGAAGCTTTCTTATATCTTTCTGTAATTTTAATAAAGCCTCATCATGTTCAGACTAAGCTTTTTCACTAAAATCTTTCTGCACAATATAATGCTCAATTAGTTCTATTGCATTTAATACTTCTTGGTAACTAACTTGATGCATTTCTACACTATCATCATCATCACTTTCATTCTTCAAAAGTTTAGGATTAGTGGTTAAGTTCAAAATTTCTTAATCATTTAACACTTTATGTACATTACTTTCTTCTGAGTAATCAATATATTCTTCAAGTTCCATCATATTAGAAAGTTAAGTGCTTCAATATCTGTGTAAAGTTTATCTAACAATTCATTATTGTCATCATCAATAGTGAGTTCTTTATTATCTTGAGTAGTCAGAAGAATTCTTGTATGCTAGAAACAATTACGTATTATTTCTGATAATATTTCCTTTCATGCTCAAACAATAAACTTTATGGCACTAAGAACATTCATTTTTTTATTTTTTTCAGCCTCATATTGGTCAAGCAACTATTTTATAAAGTAACTTCTGTAGCAACACTTGAAGGACATAATAATACCAGTATCCATAGGCTGAATGTGTGATGTTGTATTTAGAGGTAGGTGATAGACAGTTGTATTATAAAGGTTTAAATTATTAGTGAAATGACTTCATGTACTGTTTACTAAAAGGATTACTTTGTGACTAGCCATTTTTAAATCGAACTCTTTAAGCTATTTTTGAAACAAAATGGTCATCATCCATGCTTTTTTACTTGCATCATATGTAATACCAAGCTTATTGCAATTAATACCTTTGAAGCATTATGGGTTTGAAGACTTACTAATTACAAACACTTTTATTTTATCTGTACTATCTGTATTAGTACAAAATGCCAAAGTTAGTCATTTCAATTTTTTTTTCTTTTCCTTAAGATGTTTAGTGACCAAAGAGGTATCAGGTTCAAGACTTTAAAAAAAAAAAAAGTTAGTAAAGATAAACATTAATTAATATAATATGATTTATTATATCAATAGAATAATCTCATTTCATTTATATTATAAATATCCTTTAGATCATATTTTCTTAATATTTCTTGCAACTTAGGAATAACAGCAGCAACTACTGCATTATTCACAGAAGCATTTTTTTTCTTGCTTCTTTATTTATTCTAATCTATACCTTTTTTTAAATTTGTACAGCCAGTCTTGTGAGAATTTAAGTTCAGATATGTTTAATATATTAGCAAAAGTTTTTGCCTTTTTAACTATAATTGCATCACTTAAGATTATTCTATCCTAGTTTTGTAAAACCTACTTAAGTAATGCATTTTCAAGATTCAGATAATGAACTGTTCTTTGTCTTTTGGCAGAAGGATTATTTCTGAAATCATCTTTATTTTTTAATAAGTGCCCAATAGTAGATAGATGGACATCAAATTTAAACTCTTTTTTAACCTAATCGACAAACTTAACATTGCTAATATTAGAGTTTTATTTTTGTGTACAATGATGTCTTGTCTTTGTTTGTTAGTAAGAGTAGTTTTATCTTTGCATTAGTTAAAAGACATTTTGTTTTTAACTAAGTAATTTACTTTATCTAGTAGAATGATTTTATGTTATCTAAAATAATTTTTTTATTAGGGATAGGCAATTCACGAAGATATTTATTAGAAAATAATTTTAGCTTTGTGTTTTAATTCTATGCTTTTTTATGTTTATAATTATGATCTTAATTTGAAATATGTTTCTAATCTTTTATCAATTATTTTTAAAAAAGGATTTATTGAAATGAATAAGGAAAGCACAAAAACCATTCAGATAATAATTTTACTTATTAGATGCAATACAAAGTATAGTATAATGAATTATTATACAATGTGTGTGCATTCATGTATTCATATGTATAACTCTGAATAATACACTTTTTTTTTTTTTTTGGTGGAAATTTTAAATAAAAAAATGTTGTTGTCCAAAATTAGTGATATGCTATATATGTATCTTAAAATTTTGAATAGCTTATTTCATCTAGCATGAAGATTTATGTATACAATTTCAAAGATTAAGCATTAAGATATAAGTTCATTTTTTGGACCAGGGTTAATTAATTTTTATCTAAGTTATCTAATTCTTGAGCTAAGAATTGATACTGATTTTAAGAATTAAAATCAATTCTTAAATAAATGAATCATAAGAATTGATTTTAATTTTGAAATTAGTGTTAATTTTTTTTAATAAGGAATTGATTCTAATTCTTGAAAATTGTTTTTAAAATAAACTAACTGACTTTATTAATATTTGAACACTGCAGAGCAAAAGTTTATAATTGATTGTAGCTTATTATAATCAGTTACAGGAATTTTTTTTACTTTATACAAGTCACTCTTGTTATAGTAAAGTAATTGGGCCATGAGATTTTCTTCACTTTATCAATAAATAAACTATTCTTCACTATAACAAGAGGTTTACTATAATGAGAATAAATTATAATGATAAATAGATGTGCTATTTATTTTATTATTTTTATAATAAGCAAGATTTTAAGTTTATATATAATAAGTTCGATTCTTAACTTGTAATTAAGAACTTTAAATGGCTTGGCTTAGTTGGTTTTTGAGTCATTTGAGTCAAGTTGATTTTAATTTAATCACATAAAATTTGAATAGATTTAGCAACAATGATAGTTTAATATACTTTGAAAAGTCATTGTATTCTATAATTAACATTGGCATATATATATAGATGTGTATACATATATGTGTATTAATATTGATATTATTGTCATAAAATTTTTTGTACAAAATTATTATAACTTAATAAAAGCACATGATCAGCAAATATACTGTATATTTGGGAATTCTATGAACAAAGCTTAAGAACAGAACAGGACAGAGCAAATTCATGTAATATTATCAAAAGAACTGCTAACTATCCAATCTGATTTTGCTCTGTTCATAGAATTTTTACTGTATATAGTTATAAAGAATGACAGTTTTTGATTGCTTACTTTGTGATAATAATTACATGATTGTATTTATAAAAGGTACTTATATGCATGGGCCAAAAAAATAATATGCATTTATAGAATAAAGAATGTGCACTTATCTATAAGGCCTATTGTAGGGTCAGAAGATTATCTTGCATTTAGAGAAGTGCTGCATTTAGAGGAGTTGCATTTAGAGAGGGTTTACTGTATAGTATAATTATTAAGTCTTTAAAGTAGTTTATTTATATAAAACATTTTTAATCTTATACTAAATCTTCTAAAATTTTTTGTATCTTATTTTATAATTAATTTGATAACATTATAATTAGAATTAATATTTGCAGTCAGAAATAATTATTAAACTATTATACTTTTATAAAAATTATACAATTTTAGTATTTTTTTTATATATTATTAGTATTTTGTATATTTTTATAAATTTTTCTATATTATTAACCTAGTTAACTTAGTATAATATAATTTTATATTTAAATTAATTAGTAATTAGATTGATGAATCTTTTTTATTTAAGAATTTTTGTTTATATAAATTATTTGTTTTATGTTTTTTTTTCTAAATCAAGATCTTTATATATATTATTTTTAAAAATTATATTATTTTTTTATTTAAGATTTTTAAACAAACTTTTTATTTGAATATATATTTTATACTCTCAAAATTAGTTTTAATACAATTAGAATTAAAAAAATTACAAATCTCAAATTACAGATAAGTTGTAATAATAATATAACTTAGATATCATTTAAGATATATATTAGATAATAATTATAATATATAAAATATAGTTAAATTATTTATTTTTAGAATAAAAGTTATTTTTTATTATAAAAGTCTTATAAACAGATTTAGATTTTAATATATAAAATATATGTTTATCTTATATAAATAAACATATTTTTTGACTTTCCAAAAGAATAGTTTTAAATAAATTTTTTTTAAACATTAATAAAAACTTAAAAATTATTTTTTATTTTAATTTAATAAAAAATAATCTTTTATATAAGTTGTTAGAATAAAACTAATTTTTCCAAAAGTTTACTATTTATAAAAGTTAAACTTTAAATCTAATATTTAAAAAATGATAATATAATTACTATATTAGAATTATTATTTTTTTATTTTTAAAATTTAGATAATAGATTAAATTAATTATATATTATATTTAAATATAACTTTATTAAAATTAAGTCTAAAAATTTTATTTTTTTAAAAAAATTAGTTTTTTGAAACTAAAAACTTTTATTTAGTATTAGAAAATGATAATTTTAAGAAATCTTGTTATATGTATTAGAGAATATAATCAGACAAATATATATTTTTAATATTTAATTTAAGAAGTTTACCTATATTATAGGTTTTATATTAGATATTATATCTGTAATCTAATTATAGATATTGTCTATTTAAACCTTCTATAATATAAATTTGTTTTGTATTACTATTCTCTAATATATATATTAGTTAAAGAATTACAGATGCTAATTTATATTCTTAAAACAATAAATACATATTTTCTAAATATTATTACTAAAGTTTTTTGTAATCTATTTCTACAACTAATCTAATTTCTAGCTCTTATAAAATTTATATAATCCTAGTACTTCTTTTACAACTTTACTAGTATCTTGTTTATTCTTACAAGTTCTTTTATACTTCTAATCTAGTGATTTGAACTGGTTGAACTATAATCAGTTAACTGACCTAATCTAAATAAATTTCAGATACTGGTTAAGAAAATTCTTAATTAGTTGACCTAATACAACTAGTCAAGAATTGGATAGAATCAATAAAATATATAAATGATGAAAAAGTTTAGAATAAACATAAGAGATGAGCAAGAGTAAATTAAAAATTTGAGTGAAGCTTTAAAGTAAGAGTGTTTTTGTAATTCAAACTATTTAGAACATTCTAAACCATGTATCAATTAGTATCACATAGTTTTGGCAATAAGAAAAAAGCAGCTAAAACTAACTAATTATTATAATTAAAACATTCTTGGATTATATTTATAAATAAGAAAGATTATTAATCTCAACTAGTTGTAATTGGTTAACATAAAATAATTCAGTCTGGTTAACTAATTAAGAATATTTTTTTTAGTTCAAATTACTATTCTAATCTAGTTAATTATATATAAAGTAACTTTATGTTCAGATTAACTAATAATTAAATTGGTAATAACTTTTACTTAAAGATTCTTGTTCATATAAGTTATCTGGTTTGATTTTTTTTTTTTAAATTAAATTTTTATAAATAGTATTATCAAATATTGTATTACCTCTTTACTTGTAATT